AAGAAGTGAAAGGCTCTGAATATCCTCAGAAGTCACTGAATGATAAATTGATGATTGATGATAGGCGTGAGGTTGTGTGCTGCGTATACATCTTGAGAATACTGTATATTGTATAGAAATGTAAATGTAGGATGGTGTGCTTAAAAGGGAATGGGGATGAGGGTGAGTGGAGAGCTGCTTTAAATGATGGATTACTGTGCACATTCGACTGCAGATATACGGGAGCCATGTATTGCTCAGTTGTTTGTTACTATGATGTTTTACATGATGCTATGACAGGGATACAGCCCCCTGGATTGTTGGATTCTCTGTTTAAAATTAAATAAATAAATAAAGTCCTCGCCTTACTACCTGAAACACTATGAGATGACATATGCTGCGAATTGCCGCTATACAAACGAATTGAACTGAAATTGAACAGAGATGCGGACGGTCCCTCTGGCAGACGTGGCGACGGTGCCGTCAGAATGCTGATGCCAAGGATCAGCGAGAGTTTCCTAATGACCACCGACCAGAATGTTTCAATCTGTGTGCAAGACCAGAATGTGCGGAGGTGACTGTGTGATTATTGGGGCAGACGGAGCATCAGCTAGATTGTTCCATGTAAGATCTTATAATGAACCAGCTGTAATTGAGCATGAAGCACAATTATATTATTCTTACTTGATCGTACAACTGTAAGCAATTACACATAACAGTTATGATGTCCACGTTGCAGATCATACAGGCAACGATAAGGGATTGATTGGCCGTTTAATCTCTCCACACATGTACTGAACTTTGAAAACACTGCCAACCTTGAGCTACAGACATGCGGTGCAGTGTTTTTTGAAGGTCTCGTCACTCTCTATTGCTCTGACAGCAATAACCTTTTCATTATCTGGAGTCTCTGTACGAGCTGTTTCTGACGCGCCGCTCGGTGATTGCCAGGGCTGCATCAGAGGCACAAGACGGGAAATGTGACAATTTCGCCCGTGCTGTCATTGCCCCTCATGACCGGCAGACGTGCTTTGAAACTCCCACGCAGTCGGCGCGCTCGACACTTACAGCTTTGTGCTTGATGCTCGAAGCACCTGCTCAGATACAACAGGTCTGTCCTCATTTATGTGTAATGAACCGCTTTACATCCACCTGGTTTGCAAAAGCTGTGTCAGTCCAGGAACACCAGCTAGGGGGGGTAGACAAAAACATGGTGTTGTGTTTGCTTGCTCAGTCCGTTCTCCTCATTTTCCCTACCTAATTTTTCCCACCCATTTCCATTCCTTTATCCATGTCTCTAGAAGTGCTGTATGTTTCATACAACCACCCTTTGCTCTGTCGTCTGCCACATTGTCACTGCTGTTCAGCTCACCGGCACTGGAACCATTGATTTTCCTGCACTATGCTCAAGTTAGACATCTTCCCTGTGTATCAACCTCCCTACCAGCCTTGCCTTTTCCCACCATGTGGTTTTTTTATGTAAGTTTTTCGCTTGTTCATCTGGCAATAAAGTCTTTTAACTGCCTCTGCCTCCTTGAGTTTGTGCTTTTGGGTCCTTCTCTACCTGCATTAAGTTCAGCAGGAAATGTTGTTGAAAAAAAAATTGGTACAATTAAAGAGTTTTCATCGCAATTTAGTCTAAGGAACCTTGGAAATGCTCCTGACGTGCAGTCACACCTGGTATTTGTGATCCTCTTTCACTGGAGAGCCAAAGTATTTCTCAGCAAAGGCCGAACCTTTGTACAAAATAAAAAGAAAGCACTTTTAATTCAGGATAACACTTCCAATTATTTTAACAATGTCACTAATGGCAGACAAATGCCATCGATGAACAATGTTGCTCTTCTCTAGCCTTCATGAGTTTAACAAAGTTTAAAACTTACAATGCACCAATGTTAACAGTGGTTGCTGCCTGACTATTTAAGTGCCTCTGTACAGTATGGGAAAACATGACAGTTCTGATGATTACTAGATTTGTGTATATTTTCCGACTGACTCCCCTCCATCTTACCATAGAGCTTCCAGTTTGTTATAGGAGCTACAGCGATGCCACACCTGAACATCGAGCTGTGGGACAGGAGCAGGACTGAGGACAAGAAGCCTCCATACGCCTGAAAAAAGGAGAGAAAATTATGACTTTTAAAAAACAGAGGATACAAAGTGGGGGGTTTGATTTATGAGATGCTATGTTACCTTTCCATAGACTCCAACTCTGTTGCCATCGACAAAAGGCAGTTTGACCAGGTACCTGGAAGTTTGGAAGGAGTTAACTAAACAGCAAAAATGAAGTGAAGACTTTCTTTTTGTCAGAGCCAAAAGGCATCATACATTTAGTACATTTAAGGTTATAACACAAGTAAAGTGGGTATGTTTCAAAGGTATCGTCTTCTTCAGTTAGAAATGTCCTGTTTCAATGGATGGTGGATTCCTCTGGACAGACAGATACACTGCGTACATGCACATGTGGGTTCAACAACCTAAAGTGACTGAACGGAGAATGATGAGAACGCCGCACATTAGCGCTGCACACAGTGACATCAATATAAAAAAAATACAATTTCACAGCCTGTATGGACCTGAGCAACTAATGCATTGCATGCTGAGTATTGTATTATTGTAGATCCATTTTTTTTAAAAGCAAGTTGTCGACTTGGAGCCATTCACTGACCATCAACAAATACCTTAGCCCACAAAGCAATCCAA